TTTCAGTTTATATTATATGTTGGGGAAAGCTGACCCAGAGTAACAACTCCAGATGCCAAGGGGAGGATCAGGTACAGAACTAGACAACGGTTGCTAAGCTTGGGCCCAATCCTAAACAAAACCAGACACAAACTTCCACATACACTTCCTTCCCTCCCTGTAACTGCTGTAAAGCTCAGAGTAAGACCTAACTTTGGATTCAGAATCCATACCTGTGATGAAGTCTGAGCCTTATCCATTCTATATGTCTCTTTTACTTTCTTTTATGTTTCTATGGTCTTTCCTGTTTTCAAAGCATCATGCTGCATGGCTGTGTGCTGCCTGCAGCCCACAGGGTACCACCATCATGTGCGTGGTACAAAACTTGTGGATTTGGACAGCTGGGGTGTTCCCAGGGTGCTGGGTGCCTGTTCAGTGTGCTGTGGGCACAGCAAGTGGGTTCCCATTCCCAAGGAAGGGCTGACCTTGCCCAGCATGAGTGTCCCAGCCCCACACCACCCCATACCTCCACTCCACACTCGTTGACTGGGTGGAGGAAGAGACAGAGGTGAATATATTGCTGGAGGAAATCATCAGCGATGTGCAGCAGCTGCTTTTCCTTGGGCGAATTGGTCTTGTATGAGGACGGCAATTGGGACATGTCAACAGAGCTACAGCCAAAATCAATTCCAGGGCAGGAGGAGGCAAAAAGACAGGTAATAAGCCAGGAGCAATTCAGGCAAGATGATCTCCTACCAAAACATGGCAGGGGCTCCTTCTTCCCTAGGAACAAAGGGGATCATATCCATGGACATGATTTTGGCATAGCCAAGCTTCTCTGGAGTGACGGGCAAGCCAACATACATCCAGAGGCTCAGGGGACCATTGTATAGTGTCATGACACAGCAGCAAATGCATGTGCAATGAAGTGAGTCACTTTATCTTACTCACACATGCCCACTCTTGCACGGCCACACCAGGTACATGAAACTTGCTCACTCTCCTCCCTGTGCCAGGGGACCATGCATGCCATCCACATGTGTGCCAGCTCCCTGTGGATCCCAGAGGAACTGTCTCTGCTAATGCCAGCAACTGACCGACACAGATGACTTACTGCTTTGGGACACAGTCTTGCTCCACAGGCACCTTTGTCTCCACATCCTGGAGGTCACCACTGACTGCCAAACCCTTCAGCTTTTCTTCCACTCTTTGCTCATCTTCCTTCTTCTCCTCCAGGGCATCCATTCTGCCTCCTCTGAGGAACTACAGAAACACGTTCACATGGGTGAATTCAGGGGTGGCATGCAGATACACAGCAACACAGAAACATTAGCATGCTGGCCACAGTGATTTAGTATGTGAGCACGGCTGAGGTGTGACAGTGAGGAGCAAGCACTGAATTTGAGTTTGGGCTGGGCTTGGTGAATAACTGGCTGTGTGTTGCTGGGTGCCGTGATGATCAGGGTAGCCAGGCTCAGCACACCATGCTGGACGGTTGTGCTGCAGTCCCTGCTTCTCGTTCCTTGCTGCACCCTTCAACCTGCTTGGGCTGCTGCCATCTGGAAGGCAGCTCTGGAATCCTCCAGGCACAACAGCCTTCGGGCTGCAGGGAGCCGGGCGCGCGGCGCAGGGGCCTTGAAGGGAGTGGGACGTTCTGCAGCACTCGGCAGCCTCCAAGGACAGCAGCTGTTTGTTATTGATATTCTCCCGAGGACGTGGGGGCTTTTTGTCTCCCGCTCCCCGCGGTCAGGCTGACCCCTGAGGCGCAGAGATATCTGAGACACCGACCTTGCACTTGGGGGGATGGAGGGCCCAGCTCTGCTCCCCGGCCTCGGCACTGCCACT